TTTTTTGTAAATAAAGATTTTTTAGGAGATTTAATCATTTTTTGCATAATTTAAAACATGTTTTGAATGCCATTCATAAGAATAAAATATGAGTCCAAACATCTTATTATTAAAGAATTTTTACAACTTTTTCCGTTGGTTTAGTTTTTTTTTGTGAATGACTTTTTGAGTTATAGTTTCTCTTTGTGGCCGAGAATTGATTACTCTTTTGTCATAAATTTTGGAGGACTTAAAAAGCAGTCGAAAGACGTGAACACATGTCTCGAGTATTGTATTACAAAACACTTTTCCTGAAGAAAAGTGTTTTTCTGCGTTTTATGTCCAAAAAACACTGAAATTGTGAACACAATTATCAGTAATTATCAGAAAAGAAATTATCAGTTAATTTATGAAAACTTCTGTTTCGAAAAAAATTAAGGCATAGTTTTTTTAAGTGCACTTTTTATGACACAAACTTTTTCCGTTTAAAATATGAAAGTCAAGTAAAAAGCAGTAGTTTATATGCAAAGTCGACCCAAATCAACAAATTCATTGTAAAGGCATCACAGAAATAGGTCGTCTTGGATATCAGGGATACCCTCTCCCCTCCTCTCTCTCCCTCTCTCTCTCTCTCTCAACTGAATTTAACTTTTCATTGATCGCTGCTTTATTTGCCATTCAATTAATTGGGCTCGTTTAGTTATTTGCAATGATATGCCATTTGATTAGCCATTCATTTAGTGATCTATTCATTGATTATTATATGAATTGATATATTATTTAGTTTTTATGCTAACTTTTTGGCTTCAATTCCCATTTAATTACTAATTAAACAAAAAAACACTAAAACGATATAAAAGTCTTTTTTGTTTAACATATCGTTTATAATGAGTTTAATGTATAGAAAATTTTTTATATCGTTTTATACATTAAAATCAAACAGTTTTGTTAATTATAGGAAAAAAATATATCATGAAAATTATTTAATTAAACTTTTTATTTAGTTTTAAAAACATTATATGAATTAAATTGTAATTTGAATAAAGGATTTCGTAATTAAATAATAGTTTTTGAGACAGAAATCAATACTTTTTTTTAATATATCGATAATATTTTTAATAATAATTAGAGTATTTATGTACTGTTTTTAATTTGAATTTAGTTTTTATATTTTTCATTTAATTATTTACAATATTTAGTTTCAGAGAAATGTATATTAGATGTCAACTAAAAGTTTTTCGTAAATCTAATATTCAATTAATGGTTTGATTCGGTTTGTGATGTCATTGAGAGGGAGAGAGTGAATGCGAGAAGTGTTAAGAAATTCTTGTGTCCAACAGTTTGAGTGCATTCTTAGCGTTATTTTATTATTTGTTGTATTTCTGGGAATCGGTTCGAGTGAATGGTTAGGGATATAGGGATTGGATGTGCTTTTGATATGCCATCCAAAGTGATTGTTGTTTTTGTTTATCTAAGCCTTAAGGCATAAATCAATGCCTTCTTCTTCTCCATACAAAACGCATATTTATTTTACACCAAAACTTATTTTTCTTTTCAAACAACTCTTCGGCTAATGATCTGCTATTTTTGGCCACAATTTGACTCAAATTTATAGTTATATTTTGTTGTGAATATTGCGATAAATATATTAATCGTATCATTGCTTGCATTTGTGATGACAGAGAAAAGTCGTGGCGATTCCTTGCCTTATGTGATGCCTTACGGGTCTTCAGGTGACTCTCACACTCATGAAGATGTACTCTTGCAAATGGGTGGACAACCCGTGCAGAGCTCACACCCGCCCCAAACTGGTGTTCCCGTAGGAGTACAATCACATTATCACCAATTAGGTGGTGACCATCATATGCACCACACGCACCATCATATGGCACCGCCGACCGGCCCTAATGGCACTCAAACTCAATCCAGTGCTTCGGATACACAATATTTCCCACCGTTTTGTGATACACAAAGAGGTAAACCAAACCATTCATTTGCTATGCAATACACACCACACACTATACGCTCAATAGGCTATCAATACATCCATTGCTCTCAATAAGCGCACCATTAATTGCTTCACTAATTATATAATTGTTTGACTAATTTGTCATTAATTATTGCGAGAGTTATTTACATTTATCGGCAATTTGTGAAATATTTTTATTAATATTCAGCGAATTATATGTTATTTTATTATATATTTTTTGATTGCATTTATCGATTGAATGTAATAATTAGCTATTGAAGGGAAAGAACACTATAATTAATAGACAATGATTTGAATCATTAGATAATTTGTACCAATTTTTGACGAACACCTGCCGACAAGCAAATGACATGCTTGTCGTGTCTGGTGTTTGTGAACTTACTCACCGGTTGGGAAAGCCCGGCTACAGACCGTTATAACACGGCTAAAACGGGTTTATATTGTGTTAATATTGATATCTCATCACCATAATAATTAATGTTGTAAATAATTATTGTCATAAATTGCTGAGTATTTAGCATAAAATGAGTTAATTTACACGACATTTAGCGCATTAATTGTGATTGAATTTGAATGAAGTAATTGATTGTAATGTTGTTATTAATTACAACATTTATTAATAACAGTATAATTGCTGAGTATTTAGCATAAAATGAGTTAATTTACACGACATTTAGCGCATTAATTGTGATTGAATTTGAATGAAGTAATTGATTGTAATGTTGCACTAATTACAATTACAATCTAATTGCAGGCACACTGTATGGTTCGGATGCATCGAGTTATTACTTAGACTCGGGTGACTGGAACGGACAGTCGAATTACCACGCATTCGGTCCGCCGCAGCCGCAAACGCCACAACCAGTACAGGCATCTCCCGTCTCGTCGGTGTCGAGCGGAGGCGTGGGTACAGTTCCGACTCATCCGACTCAGGCATATCTTCACGACAATATATACGAAAACAGTCCAATTATCTCAAGTCTTCCTCCAATGTCCTCATTTCGCGCTCAAACGGGCCAATCAGTAGCGCACCCGACAGTCTCGCCCTCATCAGTGTTCGTGTCGCCGACCGGCACCGCCACCAGTGGGTCACCCAGTCTTACCACTCAGTCCGCCTCCGGTGAGGCGATCGGTAAGGCATTGGCAAGCATTTACTCAAGTGGTTCGGGTGTCGCCAACGCTGACCACACGCCCAGCAGCTATTCCGGATCGGCCTCTTCGACGCCTGTCTCCTCTCCTCAGACATGGCCCGCAAGACTGACCACAACCACCACTACTGCTTCATTTGCCAATACCACTGATGCAACTGACGCTCATTTGCATACTTTGGTAATTATATCACTTCTCATCTCTTATTTTCAGTCAAAATAGTTTTGATGTCTTTTATTGTTATTATTTTGTGCACCGATTTATGGCATGTTTTTAACATATGATATGATTTGCTTTTTTGCATGACTTTTATGACATTTTATGTTTTGGTTTGAAAAATGAAATTCAAAATCAATGTTGCAATGAATGCATTGAAAACACACACAAATGTAATGTAATAATGCATGGGTTGGCGATCGCAGCAATCGGCCCATATTGACGACCAGTTCGAAGATGCCATTCATTTATTGAGAGATCACACGGAGGTAATAGTCGTACGACACTTACCTTATTATTATTTCTTTTTGTTTTTTGAGTGATTATTATTGTTTCCAAATAACAGTATTGCACTTGTATTGCAAATTGATTGACTTGTTTTGTGATTATTTTAATATTGATTGTCTAATTGGTTACCCGAACAGCACTCGAGGGGTGTTATGGGTGAACGTCTTGACGATGCCATTGATATACTACGCAATCACGCGGAGGGAGCGCCCAATTATCTCACTTCAAATCTAACTCAACTCGAGAGTCATGTGGTATGTATTGATCGGCGATTGGCATGAATTGTACGACTAATTGTGTGGTTGTCTTTCGTCGGTCCGTGCGATCCATAGCCAAGTCCTTCAAGTCTAGAAACAGGTCGCAGTGGAGTCACTGTTAACGTGAACGCCAGTCAATTGAGGTGCGATTCAGCGCCGCCTCCATCGGGCGCCACAACCAGTAAGAAAGGCAAGGGATCGACGCCTAACGCCAACGGCAGTAACAACGCTAACAGTCACGGGAAGGGTTCCAAGCGGTCCCGATCTCGATAGTAAATATTACCCCACAATTGTCTTCGGTTTCATAGGATTAATGTTTTGCTATTTGTTCTAACATTTCTCACAGCAGTAGTTCTGGCGACGAAGACGACCCGCCGGAGATCAAAGTCGAGCGCGAGAAAGAGCGCCGACAGGCCAACAATGCTAGGGAACGGTAAGCAACGGTTGCTTTGTTTCATTTGCATGATTAGAATATACCGACAAATATGATGAGCGTCTTTCCCCGACTGACCAAATGCTAGATAAATGACTACTGGAGACCATTATATATATTTATATCTGATTTTATGGTTAATCTGAGTTTTTGATCAATGATTACTTTATTAAAACTTTATTGACAAATGTTTTTGGGTTTGTTTTAATGAACAGAATTCGTGTCCGCGATATAAACGAGGCGTTCAAAGAATTGGGGCGAATGGTTGTCATTCATCTGAAGTGCGATAAAGCGCAGACCAAACTCAATATTCTTCATCAAGCGGTCGATGTAATCACTAGTTTAGAGCAACAAGTTAGAGGTATGGCTGCCCTTCTCATGATTACTCACATTCTTGTGATGCATTCAGTATTAATGAATGGTTTGATTTGGTAATCGCATAGAGAGAAACCTGAACCCGAAGACGGCGTGTCTGAAGCGACGAGAAGAAGAGAAGTCGGAGGAGGCGTCGGGCGGAGGGGCGCCGAAGTTTGTCCATCACATGAACGCAAATCAAACGAGTCCTAACATAAACGCCATATCTATAGACCCGATGAGAATATCAACAATTGTATGATTTGTTGCCTTACTGTTAGTTGTGTGGAGACAATGCTAACCGTTTGCCTGTGCTGTCTGTCCCTCTATCCCATCATATAGGGTCCATCCATCACATCTTCGAGTCAGACACAATAATATTAAACTAATTTGTAAAATAAGAATCGATAAAAAGCATATTCATTATTATTATTATTAATTCATAAACAAAAACCCAATCCAATGGTCGCCAAACTTGAAACCACAGTCCCTAACACTCGTACGGATTAATGTTATAGTGAATCCATGTGTGAGTTGTGTCAATAGGTGTCTGCGGTTTACATCTCAATCATTGGTTCTAATTGTTGAACTGAAAAACCGATACAAGAATTGATATTTAAATTGAATCGATTGGAAAAACATTTTCAATGACAAAACATAATGCAAACTAATTGGAAGACCGTTTGGCCAAACGTTTCATTTAATATTAAATCATCGAATAATTATTAATTCTTTATTATTATTATTAATTATAAGTTAATCCGCTCTCTATTTCTCAGTCTCTGTTTCACTTGTTTTTATTATTAATTTAATTAATTTAAAACTAAATTCGGATAATTAATTGCTTCGTAATTATTTTTTGTGCTGAAAATTCGCATTTAATTTATAATATTATTGCAATATTTTATTTAGTAATTTAAATGAGAAAAATTGTGTTCTTATATGACATGAATTTTTATATCTAAATATATTTAACGACTCGTCATATCCTTTCGCTATACAATTGACTGCTATTTCTCCTGTTTTTATATTTTTCTCAATATTTTCTCTGTTGTTATGAATTATATTTTCGGTGTTATTATCATTGAATGAAATGAAAAGATGAAAAATCTCTGTATTTAGTTATGATTTGATTATTTATATAACATTTTATTTTTTATTTACCACTCATTATGAAAACGGGAAAAAGAGATGAGACGACTGAATGCTAAGAGCAAAATGAAAGTATTGTTCATTTAAGTTAAAACCCGATAAAACAAAAACTTGTACTTAAAATACAAAACAACCAAAAAATAGTTTCTTTTTAAATATATTTTATTTCTCTCTTCGACTCATTAATAACTCATAATTTTATTAATTATTACTTCCTTTTTATTTAAAGAGAAATAATTGAAAGTATTTTGAATTTCTAATTGAATTTCATATCACCTTTTTTTCTTGTGTCAAATTATTTAAAACTTATTTTAAAAATTTTATTATTAAACACAAAAACTTCATTCCATTTATCTATTAATTTAAATACAATTTGTTTTTGTAGAGTATTTTTCTTCCTTCTGTTTCTTTGAAATCGAAACCTATTTTTGATTTTCACATTTCAAAAGCTCTTTATTTTTAGTTACATAACCAATAATTGTGTGAAATACCAAAAATGATAAAAACAATTATTGTTCTTATCATTGGACCCAAAACTATGTTATTATTGAAAACAACAAAATATCATGTTTTTTGGAAAATTATTTTATTTTTTTCCGCAACAAAAACAATAAAAAGTAAAATCATTTGTCAGACAAAACAAAAACTAACGAATCATTTCTCGCATTTCAGATATAACTGTAATATTATATTAATTAATAAAAAATAAACATTTATTTAATACTTTATATTAAGTGTGTTTTAAATGTATGTATAAAATGAATAGCAAAACTCCTAAGACTCCAATTGTTTGGTCAATTGCTTGTTCTCTAACTTTATTTGCTGTAAATCTGCTAAAATGCGGCTCAAATTGGATGCAGTCTTTCGTGATCTTTCCGTTTCGACCTATCATTTAGTGAAGAAATAATCATTAATTCATTGGTATTGATTAGAAATGGATTCAATTCTCACCGATTCCTCTAATTGTCTGATTTCCCTAAGTATGAGACCGATGGCCGACACGGCCTCCAGAAGTTGGTCGCAGTGTTCGTGCATTGAAGCCAACAGTTTATAGCACTTTCGGTTCCATTCATTTTGTTTGGCGTCCTTTACAGCAAAAATGGATACAATTTGGTTACAAAGAAAAACACACAAAAACGAGTGAAACATACTTTGAAAATCTCTTCGTCGGCGACAGTGAAAGTTCGGGACAACTTTCCCGATAAGTTATTGATCTCTTTTTGAACAGTTCTGGTCTCCAACAGAATCTTTTTGGTTTCTTCGTTCTGCTTCTTAACATTGGCCACAATCTCGAGAATCCGTTTGGTGTACGAACTGCGGGCCGGCGGCCACTGTTGGGGTATCTTTTCCGTCAACTCCTTCACTAAATTCTCTTTAACTTTGATTTCTTTCACTTTAGAATTAATCGATTTCTTCAAGTCTTTCACTTTCCTCTGAAGCGCCGAATGTCTCTCATTCTTGGCGTTTGACTCAACCATTAATTGTTTCAATTGATTGGATAACGAGTCCTCGATTTTAAGCCATTCCTGTGATAATAATTCAATCTCTTGTTTCACTTCATTGATCTGCGAAACCAATTCATGACTCGACTTATCACTGGTTTCTAATTCACGCAATCGTTTCGTCTCTTCCTTTAATTCATTTTCGTATTCAATCGCTTTGTTTTCAAACTTTTTATGCTTTTGTATGTCTTTTTCTAAGCCTTTTAACTCGTTTTCTAATTCTTCAATAATTAGTTTATATTTCTCTTCTTTATTCACTTCATCCGCGGTCTGAATCTCATTCTTGTTCACCGAAGACTCTATATTCATCGCTTCCAACTCATTGCTCAACGACTCGCTATTTTGGTCTCCAATGGGACGGACGGTCTGTCGACCGGTAAGACACGATTCAATCGACACTTTCTTTGACTTAACGAACAGTTGGCTATCATTGGTCTCACTGTCCAGATATAGAGAGTTCCACTCCATTATCGAAGACAAAGTATTTGGCAGTTTTAGACACTTATCGTAATATTTGCGACGATTTGGCGCTAATTTATTGACTAAAATTGGTTTAAAGTTAACTGATTTGTTGACAGTCGTGTCAACCGACCAGATATTGCCATCAATTATATGAGAATCAGTTTCCGCAGACTCAGTGTCTGTCATGAATGGCAACCAAATGGTACTGATTTGCGCTTTTCTCAGCTGAGTTCGTATGTCTGCGGGCGTGAGTCCAGTGGTTCTGATCGACGAGAGTCTGTTCTCTTCGTCTTCTTTGGGAAGTTTTTCCAATAAAAACAAAAATAATTTTCTTATATCCGATTCGTTTCCGTAGAGGAATGTCTGGTAACCGATGTCCGCCTTATAGGCCAACTCCTGGACACACAAAGCCATGCAATTAATCATCCATTATATCAAACAAATTGCGGATCAAATCAAAGTGTGAATTACTTGTTTGCAAACAGTGGCCAAATGTGTGGCCATTTTGTATTTGATGGACATATTCATGGCTTCGGAGATGTGTTTGGCCGGCAATTGGTAGCCATTGTTGGGATCAATGAGTCCAATGCAATGGCAGACACATGACATGATTTGGTGGACTTCCAGGTCTTTAATGCCAGTTATCTCGTCATCCAATTCACTGCAAACAACAAATGGTCACATCATTTGACACTTCAATGTCATCATAAATACCATCCAATTTCCCGCAACTGTTGCATCAGAATATTGTCCACTTCTTCCATGTCTTCAGATAACGATACGAATGGCAATCAAATCAAGTGATGATTAGCGAGGAGTCGATGGAAAGAGGCGTTCAATCACTCAAAACACTGAGAAATCACATGAAAAACATATCGCTTTGGGTTTCAATAATTCCCATACATTTCACACATATTCCCGATATTAAGGTATATTTAAATATAAATGTATTTATGATTTACTAGTAATTTAAAAAATAAAATTTCCATTTCTATCACATTATATATTTCACACACTTTTGTTTAATTTAAATAATGTTTAAACAAATAAAATTAGTGCTAAATATATTGGGAAAAACTCCCGGAAATAAAATAATATTAAACATTAATTCACATTCATATAAAGTATATCCTTATACTGTATATTATTTGCCCCTAAATTCTATACAAAACTGATTTAAAACCATAAATAGTTAGAAAATGGTTTATAATTAAAATCTAAACAATTAATCAATTGATATTTAATTAGTTATTAAACTAGAAATCAATGCAAACGCGAGTCAAGGGTTGTATAGATTGGGGAACCCTTTGGCCGACAATCCAAAAGTGGTTCACTTTATATATGAATAGCTCCACAAAAAAGCACTAAAACAACAATACATTGCATTTGTATCACAAAAAGTGATGTTATTTTGCAATCGTTTTGCAAATAAATCGCATATTTTATGGCAAATTGAAAACAAAACTCAAAACAATTAAATTTTTCATTTCATTTGTTAAACCAATTGTTTTGAGCGCTTAATCGCCTACCGATCGGCCAATTATAGGGCACAACACGTGGTGTTCATTAAACAGGGCTTTGACTGTGGATTAGTGTCTGAATTGAATGAATGAATGCATTGAATGAATGAAAAGGTTTTTTTCATTATCGATATTAATATGAATGAAACGATTTGTTGAGTGCTTTTATCACCACTTTATTAGCCAATGATCTAAAGTTCAACTCATTTGTGAGTCAAACACTTGAACTATAACTCGAAGACATCGTCTCAACAGTGGATCAGTGCTGAAGAGCCGATCGCCGCAACCGTTACATCCATAGCGAAGCAAACCATTGGAACCATTGGTGGCAGAGATTGTCTTCACCACAAAATGCTGCAACACTTACGCAAAGTGAAGACACTTCGGGTGCTCTTCAGCCTCTCGTTCTTCATTTCGGGAATTATTATAAATTTGATTCAATTCTCGCTGTATTTGACGATCAGATGCTATGACCGCAAACTCTACCGACGGATCAACTATTATCTCATTTACACACTCGAGTCGCGTATGTATTTGAATGAGTGATTCACTCGCGAGTAGTAGTGATGAGATCATAACGTGTGTGTCTTCGCAGAGATCGTCGCCATAACCGAGTGGTGGTCGGAGTCGAGGGTTCGCATGTTCTTCGCCGATGAGGACAGTCGTCGTTCTCACGGCAAGAATCACACGCTGTATGTAATGAACCACAGATACGAATTGGATTGGCTCTACGCTTGGATGGTGTTAGACAAGTACAACGCTCTCGGGGTACACAACTTCAGACAATCACTTCTTTGCCTCCCTTTTCACCACTTATTTACTCATTCATTGATTGTCTCATTTGCCAAACAGAATGCGAAGTCATTCGCGAAGAAGTCGTTGCGATGGCTGCCGATTGTGGGCTGGGGTTGGGTTTTGGATGAGTTTATATTCCTCGACAGAGACTGGAAGAAGGATTCGGTGAATCTGCCGAAAGCGTTGGATCAGTTGATGGCATACGAGTCGCCGATCGCTTTGCTTCTGTTCTCAGAGGGAACTCGTTTCACACAATCCAAGTACGAGAACAGTATTGAATTCGCCAAACAAAGAGGTTTACCGCAACTGAAGTACCATTTGTTGCCCCGAACTAAAGGATTCGCGTTTACTATCCGTCACATCAAAGAGAATTGTATGAAAACAATACCATATTGTGATTGAATGGATGCTTCAATTTGAATGCTGTTTCAGATCCCGATTGTGTTATATATGACATTCAACTTAAATTTGAAGACAACGCCAAACATTTGCCATCTTTCACATCCATATTGAGAGGAAAGCCATTGTATGGAGACTTCTATTTGCGTAAAATACCTGTCAGTGAAGTGCCCACTGATTCAGAAGAAGAGATCTCAACTTTTCTCTACGATTTGTATAAGAAAAAGGTATTTGTTTTTAATTAAAGCGTTAATTATTTCATAATTATATAAAAATGTGTATTTTTAGGACAATCTCATGGAATACCACGAAAAGAACGGGAAATTTCCGGGAATTCTAGTCGAAACGCCGAGAAGAATAGCGCCACTCATTAATTGGATGGTTTGGTTTGTCTTCGTTGTGATCTCTTTGGCATATATTTTGTTTAATGTCTTCGCGTCTGGAAATCTATATCTAATCATAATAACGACACTTATCTTTGCATTCGGTCAGCATTTTTCATCAAAATTATGTTTCATTTCAATAGTTGTGAAAAGTATTAATTTTGAATATTGTTTTCTAACTGAATAGCTTTGGGATCCGTTTATGTGATGATCGGTTCGACCAAAATTAAAAAGGGCTCCAAATATGGCAATCAAAATGACAGTCCAAATAAAGCCGAAACTCAGTTGAATGCTAACAATAACTCGAGTTTACGGAAGCGTTTGAATGCCGAAGAAGATAATTAGGACTTAGAATTGAATGAAAATAATTGTTATATAATATGAATGTTTTATAAATACAGATTTATATACATATATGAATTTATCCCTTAATTTAGTCCTAAATCCGATCCAAAGGTCTTATTCTTGTTTTTTGATATTCACATAACAAGTAATTTATTTTATATTTTGATTGCAAAACATGTTTTAGTGACTCTTCTATTGAAGAAAATCGTTATTGAGTTTTTGAAACTCAACTTTATTTACAATTTATTTTATTTTTTAAATAAATAACTCTTACATAACTAAAAAAGGCAGAAAGTGTTGTAAATATTAGGCAATTATTAAAAACTGTTTGTCTTTCGCACCGACGCTATGGTTAAAGTCCTAAATGGGAAGAATTTCAGACAAATTGTAACATTTTCTGTCATTTGTTATATTTTCTGTTTATTAAATACTCATTAAAGTATATGTTTTTAAAATATTCAATTGATATTATATCAGGCAATGAACATAAATGAACGGATGATTTGAATTTGCTTTAAAAATAGCTACAATTACACAATACGTACGCATACTTTGAACATAAAATTAAGTCCAATTTTGTGTTTGAATGCTCTTTAGACCAGAGCTTAAGTCTAAATACTTGGGTTGTTTTAATCGCGTATTTTTATGTCACGATTATCTGCGCCCCAAATCATTGTGTATTTGTTTCACCAATCAATCCAATGTCGCGATTATGTATTCACACTATTTATATGCAAGATATGGTCACAAGTATTCACACTAATTGTATACTATTCAGACTTGAGATCGCTTTGATGATTAGTATATTTATATAATTTTCTCTCACTTTAGACTCTATTTATATTGAATCAGATATAAAGTCATCACAAATTTGACAATATTAAGGTAATTTACATTAACATTAAATATAAATTTTATATAAACTACAGTATAATGACTTAAATTAGTTGAAAATTTACTTATGAAAGTTAAGAATGCTAACAATATTATAAATGAATAGATAACTAAAATAACAAAACTTGGAATCAATTAAATTACTGTGAAATAAAAACAACACCAATTTTTAACAAACAATTGTTGATATCTTTATTGATTAACAAAATTCTCGAAAAACTTAATTTAAGTCAAAAACACAGACAATAAGCACAGAAACGTAAGAATGTATATATTATGTCACAATAAAAACAATGCGAATAAATTAATTCAATGAATAATTAACTAATAAATGCTGATTTTGGGGTAAAAATTATCTAATAATTATAAGTTTGTATACAAACTAAAAGATCAGTAAAATTGATAATAATTTATTATAAATTAATAAATAATAACGTTTAGTGCAAACGTATAAAATAATTTCTAAAATGAGCTGTAAATCACTTTTTAGTGGCCCTCTTCCTCGGGGTCTTCTGTGGCGCCAATTGTTGTGTTTGTTGTACCTGTCGTTTGAGTACATTTGTGAACTGTTGCTGAGGTGTCAGCGTTGGACCAGACATCAGATTGGACTGGATTTGGGTGAATGTGGTGGTGGAGGACGAGGGGGCGTACGTGTGCGGCGCCAATGGCCTCAATAGGGGTACTGACGGCGCAGAACTCATCTGAAGCAGCGATACCTGCGGTCCAGTGGTTCGTATTTGGCCTGAATTGTGCTTCAATTGATTAATAAACTGAGCGTTCAATTGATGTACGCCTAGACTGCCGGTCATTCCTATTGGCACTGATAACAGATTATTGCCGGCCGATCCGGTCGACATCAGCACAGTTGTCGGCGCCGTCGCGTACGTCACGGACACACCGCTGTGGTCGTCGTCCTTCTGCTGGCTTTGATCCAGACTCACAATCATAGAGCCCGGAGTAGTCATGATCGAGGGCTGAGCGCCGGTGGCGGTCGGCATCATTGTCAACGATATGGGAACTGCCATCCCTTGAGGTGTTATCGACACCAAGTTATGTAACCGAAGATTCTGTTGAACCGGCGCTAAACTAAGGCTCGCGAGACTCACACCGGTCGGCAATGGAGTCGCTGTACTCACTGTCTGATGACTTGTATCCGCGCACTCTATTTGTTGAATGCCTTTTAAAATAATTATTACTTTGTATGCAATCATAACATGATATCAAAAAAATAAATGATAACTTAAATAAAATATAAAACAATTAAAAGCAAAACCAATAGAAAAGTTTATAAGCAAAAGAAAGAGTAACCAAATATAGCAATAAAGAGGAAGTATTAGTACTTTTAGTGATTCCCGAAGAAGGTGTGAAAATGACTGCAAGCGCTGATTCGGGGATATGGGTCGTACCGGTGGTCGCGTGAATGCCAGCCGTAAGCAAAGGGGTAGCGATTGAGTCAGACGTGACTTTATTTGGAGGCGAAAACACTTTGTTTTTTGGAAAGCGGTTTAATATGAAAGTAGAGTTAGTGTTAGAAAGCGAGTTAAAAGCGTTGCTTAGAGGCGACAGTAATAGAGGGCCCGGCGCTTACCTGCGGGTATTGTGATTGTCTCCTGAGGTTTGATGTGAGATGTTATGGATGGCGTCGAAATGGTCGGCGATATGATAGGGCTCTGCAATATGGAAGTCGGCACAGAAGGAGAACTCTGTTCAATAGTAATCAATTTGGGCTTTTTTGGTGGCGTCGACACTATAGCTATGGGCTCGTCATCGAGCGCTTCCTTAGTGGCAGTGATAGTCAATCCCTGGGCAGTGGCCGCCGGTGTGTAACTAATTTGAGGCACTTGTCCGGCCATTGTGTGAACAATTTTCACCGATTTTCTGCCATTTTCGGTCAGAATTTCGGTGAATTGATCGACATATCGTTTGGTCGACAGTTTGGTCCCCAAACAGAATCTAAACCAGAATTATATTTTCGATGTGTATTCAAGTCATCAAATAATACACGAAATGGCAAACAAATGGATGGCTTACGTGGAAGTGGATCCCCTGAGGTGTCCCTGTCTATCAATGACCAGTTGTCCGAAATACATGTCATCAATACTTCGGTGTAGAATATTCACTGTAGTTAACGATCGGCGGTTATCGTCCATGAAATCCATCTTATATTCCTCTATTTTAGTCTATAAGCAAATCAAACATTATTTTTAACTTTATATTTAATAATAAGCACTTAAATAAGACTAACCAATGAATTGTCGACATTAACGAGAGGTTTTGGTAACTCTTTAGCAATTTTGTCGACACCAATATTCTTGATGGAAAACGGCTCATAAATCGGTTCACTTGTGTCCATATGAATCTGAAATGCAAATAAAATCTCAACAAATTGAACCAAAAAGTAATTGAGAGCAAAATGTTTTACCGATTTATTGACTTTTGTTTGCGAATTACTTTTGTTGCTTCTCTTCTTCAGGAACTCATGCAATCGGAATATCTTCGGCGCCGCTAATGACTCGAACTTCTTCACACGATTCGTAGATATTTGCGAACACTTCTTGGAAAGTCTGTCAAACAATTGGATAAATAGTTATTAAAAATCAAAACAAATCAAAACAATTTGTGACAAATAATATACTTTAAGAAAGAGATGTCGCGAAACATTCGCTTCTTTCGCCACAATTTGTTGGAAAGTATGGCCACAGAAGGGCTCGGATCGAGGCATAGGTTGGGAGCGGTGGCCAACAGTAGTTGAGACTCGAGTTCGGCCTTATCTTCGTTTGTCCACAAGTACTCATCGCTCGAGTTGTTGATGATATTAATGACATCATTGGTCAGACTCTGAGTGCTGGGTCTGAGAAGAACCCATTGGGACGAGTGGTGGAGGGAATGGGAGGGCGACCCTCGCCGGTAGTCCCGCACCTCAAATATAAGACATCCGGTTTGGAAGAGATTGCAGTGAATGAGCGGTGAGTTCTCAATGAAATCGACCAGAAATGGTGGCAACTCTTCGTTGTCGATGTAATCCAAGAGTTGGTTCTCTTCGTACGGCAAACGCATCGTTTCGATGACATTCTCGCTGTCACTCAACTTCAGACCAATCGTATAGCCGTCGGAACCGCTGTACAAACTCAACACAAAGTGATTCAACTTCTCTTTCAGCACTAACTTCTTCAACACATGGGAACCGCTGTTGTGGTTCTGCACACAATCGCCACATATAAGAGATGTTAGAAATAAACACAACAATCAATGCATTAAAACCTTTTGTTTGCTTGTCTTCTGTTTCTCCTCGAGAAGTAGATCCAGAAGTCGTTCATCGATGGACTTGTTTTGGTTGCTGTGTTTGGATTCTTTGATGTCTTTGGGCCGAAGTTGTGTCCAATCGTTTTGAGACAATTCAAAGAAGTGCTAAAAGAGATTCACCGAAAGATATGGTAATAAAAATGTGACACAAAAAGAAAAATAATGTCTCACTTCAGCCAAAGTGAACATTTGATCCACACTTTTGGACATTGTTTTCATTTGACAGCAAAACAAACGCTTAAATCATAAGAAAAGCGATTCGCGGATCAAATACAAGACAATTGAAGACATGTCTTGAGATAAATGTTTGGCAAAAAATTGATAACACTTTTTGGTCAACAAAATGCAGAAAACAATAAATGAATTGCAAAACCAAATCAATGAGTGATTGAGTGAACAATCGGTTTACACATTGTTTTTGTTTACATTTCAAACACTATTTTCATTGAAAATTCAGTGAATGAGTGAATGAAAGCACAAATGTTTTCGATTGCCATAAATTACGGAACGTTTTGCCGGACAATGGCTTTCAAAGCGTCTACTTTTTGGGCACCGATTCTGGCATTCGTGTCGACGATTGTGTCATATATTCTGTGCATTCATTCAATCGGTTGTATATTAATTGCATTTCTAACGAAAAATTTAATGCAAACACATTTTTGAGTGCATTTTGTGCTAATAGTTTGTTGAGTGACAGCGAAGTTAAATGTGTTACAAACTAATGAGTTTGTTATGCGACAGAATATTAAGCATTTCTAATGTATTGCCGCATAAATAAGTTTATATAGATTTTTAATTAAGTTTTTCGAAATTATATATTTTTTTCTCGCATGTAATCAACGGATAAAGAATTTAAATATTTGTCACATTTAACTGTTCTGTAAGTGATTATTGGTTTTGTATGTAAATAAGTTGTTGTGTTAATTCCTTACTATATTTATTGCCAATTCATTGATTCATTGAATTTTATGGCATTTAATTTGCGAAAACTTTTTGTGTATATAATTTTTGATTTGATTTATAAATCAATGATATTTAGTGCAAATGTGTTATAAAAACCCAACTCATTGTACTATTGCTTATCAATGAGACTAAAAAAGTCTATAAACTTATTGTATCTAAAAGTCTTGTGAAGAGAGAAGTCTTGTTAACACATAAAAACTTGCGATTTCACTAAAACATAAGAAAGTGTTGCCTTTGAAAGCAAACACTATTATAATCTCAAACTTTTTTGCGATAATTATTTTTGATTGTATGCTATAAATGAGACATTTATTGAGGCAATTGTTTGCAATAAGCAGTGTTTCGCGCAAATATATAATAATATTATTGTGTATTGAGTGCTATATTTATAATATAACCACAGATTGATTAGTGAATTAGATGTGAATTCACGTCCAGTCAAATGGTTTCGTATAATAAGAGCATTGGTTTATTAAATAACATCAAAAACTTTGTTTCTCTCATCAATGGTTTCGTTGAATTTGAGGTCAGAATAAAATTTTTGATAATTAATTCTTTGAATTGTTTTTATCGGATGTTTGAAAATTAAGTTTCAATTATATGTTAAACTATTTACTGTACAAACTATTTGTAAAGTTCCCACAATAAATTAATTAGAATTTTGTCTAGGCTTATTAACTGATAAATTAGTAACAATATTTTTGTTTGCTTTTGTCAAACATTTACAAATATTTAATTTAGTAATAAATATTATGCTTAAAAATTATTTATCAAGCGCTTTTAAAATTTCTAGAATTAATTTAATAAAATAATTTTTTTAATTAAAATTTGTAATATTATAAATTAAATTACTTAAATCATAGCTGTATTCTATAAAATTGTACAAATGAACAATCTATGCAAATATAGTTGCAAATCCTTTACATATTTGTTTAAGTGGTAACACTTGTGAAATGCAATATTCTTTGATAAACACATCAATAGATAATTCATTTGATAATAATATTAGAATATACAGAGAATACAGAGCAAGTGTACAATAATAGAAGAAATGTATTGATTTATGATTTATGGTTTATGTTTTATGATGATTCATTTAGAAAAGCAAAAGTATTGCAAATAATGGCATTCATAAGTCGGGTGACAATCAACGCAAGCAATGGGCGACCCGTAACGATGGTTTGCGTCCACACCCGTCGTGGCATATCGTACTCACCTGTTATCTCACGTTTGCAATCCTTATCGCCTTCGGATATATCAATGAGTTTCTCACATATATTGGACTCAAACGAAATAAAGCCATTTCAGAAACCAATAGAGAAGTGATTATTTATTTTTTATTTAAACAAAAAATTGAATTATTGGGTTCAAGGATTGGGTGTTTTATGCATGTTATATACTGTATATAGGGTTACGCGTGTCTGTACGGCACGTGGCAGAGCTTCTTCACCCGATACATCTATAGGAGAGTATGCGATGCCTTTAGTCAACCCATATGTTCAGTACCCGCCGGTAATGTCCACGTCTTAGACAGAAAGTCCGACGATTATAATCTCACATTTAGGTAATAAAAAGTTTTTTGTTTTATTTGAATCTATTTAGTAATTATACAGTAAGTAATGATTTGCTATAATTATCATTACCTGGTTTTATGGGTTCTTACATTTCACCGTTTTTAGCTCTTATATGAAATTGATTACAATGTGTTGTCATAAATATTATATTTAGACTAACGGGTAATAAAACAAATGCAATTAATTTGGGTTCATATAACTACTTGGGTTTCGCCCAAAATACCGGCTCCGGCACCGATCGGGTCTTACAAACAGTGCATAAGTATGGGATCGGAATTGCGTCCACTCATCATGAATTGGGTATTTCATTGCAAATAGATATAAAGTTATTTAACAGGGCTTTTTAGATCAGATATAGTCATAAATATACAGTTACATAGTTGTATATGTAGTTATCATAGAAATTGCAATAATGTTTAAATTATTTTATTATTCAAATTCTTTAATAGCTCTTATTTTTGATATGAATTTAGGAAAACTTGACATTCATATAGAATTAGAAGAATTGTTTGCCAGATATCTAGGCGTTGAATCGGTCGTGACGTTTGGTATGGGTTTTGCCACAAACTCGACAAACATCGCGACTTTCGCCGGAAAGGGATGTCTTATTTTGGGCGATGAATACAATCACGCGTCACTCAAGTCCGGCAGTTATATATCGGGCGCTACTTATCGCTCATTTCGTCACAACAGTATGTGAAAGAAAGTGACGTTAAAAATGTCAATTAAAACTTATATTTCAAATTAAGATATGAATGATTTAGAGACAAAAATTCGTGACTCTATTGCTTTGGGAGACACAAAGTCGGGACAAAAGTGGAAAAAGATTGTCATTATAGTCGAAGGGGTGTATAGTATGGAGGGTTCGATCGCTAATCTGCCGGAACTGATACGACTGAAGAAGAAATACAAGTGCTATCTATACGTAGACGAAGCGCATAGTATCGGAGCGATTGGACCCAATGGTCGAGGAATTACCGACTTTTATGGCTGCGATCCGAATGATATAGATTTATTAATGGGAACTTTTACCAAGAGTTTCGGCGCGTCGGGCGGTTATATCGCTGGTCCGCGACATGTGATCGATCGCATCCGGGCTTACACTCAGAGCGCTTACGCCACTAATATGTCGGCTCCGATCGCACAGCAAATCATATCAGTTGTCAAAGTGCTTATTGGAGAAACTGATGGAACAGATGGTAATTATCTGAATATTTGTTTGTATTTGATTATAAACTATTTTCTCGATCACTAGGTATTGAACGAATCAATAGGTTGTCTGAAAATACGAAATATTTTCGCAAACGACTAAAAGAGATGGGATTCATAGTGTTGGGACACCCGGAGTCACCCGTTATACCAATTTTGCTGTATTTCCCGGCAATGATATCGTAATTTATAACGCGATTCTATGGTTACGAGTGTTTCATAAGTAATCGATAATTATTTGTTTCATAAATAGACCGTTTGTACGGTTGGGTCTAAACCGGGGAATAGCGACAGTTGGCGCTGGATATCCGGCCACTACTCTAACCACAAACAGAATCAGATTCTGTATGTCTTCCGCACATAACCAACAAATGCTCGAAAGGGCTCTGAATATCATTAGTCAAATTGGAGACGAATTTAACATTAAATATCTGAAAACTTGATTACAACGGCTTATATAACGTTAATTTCAATTAAATAGACACAACATTTTATTGTAATTGTTTCTAATGTTAAACACAAGTATTTTTTAATGTCATTTGTTTGACGAGATGTTATTTAATGGTAAGTTTGTTAGAAAAGTTCACTAAAACCCCTGTTATTTAGGAATGAAATACATATGAAAGACCAAATGAAATTAAATTTGTATTAATAGCTAACATTGATTTGTGTAATAGTATTGATAACAACTAAATTGTTTGCACACAATGTGTGAAATAATAAACTCATTAAACATGTTATAAATTTATTTAATATCATACAAGATATCTAATCATTGATTACTAAATCGTTAAATATTTTCACAAATAAATATCTCGGAGACAATTGAAAGTGTAAATTGAAAATTATAACAAATACTGTCAACTAAAACATAGTTAACCAACAATTTAGTGTAAATTACTTAAAAAGTTTGGAGAGAGAGAGAGAGAGAGAGAGAGAGAGAGAGAGACATCTATTGATGGGAAAGGAGACGAGAAATGCATTTGTTTTGAAGGGAAACACATTTTTTTGATCGCTTTTAGACTTTGAGTGCAATTTGTGTTGAATTGAGTGCCGATTGAAGAGTGGTTTGATTTGCGGACAAAAGCATGTCATCGACGGTAGACTTGGAGCTGAAGAAGGCGTTCCAGGAGTTGCAGGTGCAGGTGATCGAGACCAGGGGTCGGGTGCGACAAATGGACCAACAGATGGACACTCTGAAGAGGTCGTGTCAACACTCGCGGATCACTTTAGGACAGCTGAAGGAAATGCCGGAACAAACGCCTCTCTATGAGTCGATCGGCCGTATGTTTGTCCGCAGAGACAAGCAGTCCATCCATCAGCTCTTGGAGGACAAGATCGCCACCAATGAAGACAAATGCAAACAATTGTCTCAAAGCAAGACTTACAACGAGAGCAAAGTGAAGGAATCGGAGAACAATCTTCGGGAACTCATCAACAGTAAGAAACTTCACCAATGAGTGGGTCCACGAGATTATCGGCCAATCGCTGGAACCGTTGTCTTCTTTGCCGTTCGGTCACTATTTTCTCATTGGTTTGTCGTTTGATCGCAAATATGATGTGTTTTTATGATTCAAATTATGCTTTTGTTTATTACTTTTACTGGAAATAAGTTTTAATTTAGGTTTAATTGTATTTTATATTATAAATTAATGATTAATTAATTTAGATTTATATATACATTATATCATGATTTCTATGTAATACTCGATCAGTCGATCAGTTTTGAATGGTTTGTATATTTGCGGCAGAATTTACAATAAAATTAATATTTTAAACAATTGTTAACTTTATGTTGAATTTCACATTAATTAACATTAAAATGAAATGAATTTATAAATATATGAAACACTTATATATTGAGTGAAACGTTGAGATTAATGGTGAGAGAGATTGGCGTTCATTGATATGTAAGTCAATAGAATATTCATGAATGTAATGCTTATGTAATGCTAGACTCAGACACTTAAGTCTCACTAATGATAACTTAACGTTAATTATACTAAACGTAAACTAAGACTTCGTTATATTTTTCTTCTAAATCGAGATTATATTTAAATTTTTGACACAAAGAATGGATAGACTTAAAGAAGTGGCAAAAAAACACGAGTTCTTATACAGTATACGATTGTTACTGTATTTCATCAAACAAAATGTGACTTACAAACAGAGATAATGTCTAAATAATAGTCGGGGTATGTCTTTGAAAGTGAGAGGAGAGAGAGAGAGAGAGAGAGAGAGAGAGAGAGAG